CATTTACTCTAATCTTTTTGCAATACATCGGTTTTTCAGTATACTTGGTAAAAAATAAAAAAGTACCTCAATTCCAATTACTTCGTTGACATCCACGTTTCTCAGTGTGAAATGCTAGACCAATTTCGAGAAGGAATCACAATGCTTACCTGGAATGTAGCAGAAGGAAAGAGTCCACAGCGCAAGAATGGCAATTACTCGGTTGAAGTTTTGCATTCCAAGATGTTTCCAGCCCCATTCCCACCCGCCAAGGTACAGGTTGAAACAGATCTGGAACCTGGAATGACAAAAGAAACGGTCACCTTTAGAAAAAAACAAAAAACAAAAAAACAAGAAGTATGTCAATAAGTGAGGATCGCAATAACTTTGAATATCAAAGACGATCATATATCTATTTTGAAAAAAATCAAGAAATACATCAACGATTGGATATTACACTAACTTTGAATATCAAAAACAATCATAAATATACTCAAGAAAAATATCAACGATTGAATATCACAATAACCTGGTATGCAAAATAATCATAAGATTACTGAAACAAATCAGCGAAAAAAAAATCTAAAACACAAAAATTATCAGTTACTAAACAAATAAACAAAAATACAAAAAAAATCTAAAACAGAAAATCATAAAGTTACTGAATAAATCAACGAAAAAATTACAAAATAATCATAGTTACAAAAAAAAAAAAAATCTAAAACAAAAATAACAATAGTTACTAAACAAATAGACAAAAATAGCAAAAAAAAGCGCCTAAAACACACACACAAAACATAAACGACTACAACAAAACCACAGGATGAATCTCGCCCTTACGACAGGAAGGCAAGGAGCCACAGGAACACGAAGAGGCCGAAGACGACAGCCACAGGGCGCTTCCACGAGGGCATGAACTTGAGGGGCACGTCCTCGATGTCCCTGGAGGCCTGCAGGCTGCCCCAGTCGACCGGGTGGAAGCCCATCACGCGAGCCACCTCCGCCACGCTCGCCTTCGCCTCGCCATTGTCGCCGGCGATGAAGACCTGCGGGGGAGGAGGTGGGGTTGGGTAGGTCGCTGCTGGGGGAGAGGGGGGGTAAGGGAGGGTGTGTGTGGGGGGGGGGGGGTGGTGTGGTGTGTGTGGGTGTGTGTGTGTGTGTGTTGTGGTGGTGTGTGAGTGGGGTGCTTGTGCCAGTCTTCTCTCTCTCTCTCTCTCTCTCTCTCTTTCTCTCTCTCTCTCTCTCTCTCTCTCTCTCTCTCTCGTCTCACTCTCTCTCTCTCTCTGTGTGGTCGTGTGTGTGTGTGTGTGTGGTGTGTGTGTGTGTGTGTGTGTATGTGTGTGTGTGTGTTTATGTTCATGTATATTGTATATCTGTACATGAATACGCATATGTGTAAGTATATATGTCTGTGTCTGTATCTGTATCTGTATGTATATTTATTTTTATGTTTATGTCAATGTTTTGTCTATGTTTATGTCTGTGTTTATGTCAATTTCTATCTCCATGTCTACATTCATACGAATGTATATATATGTATGTCTGTATTCCTGTTTGCGTCTATATCTCTGTCACTGTCTATATCTATGTTCATGTCTGCGTCCTTGTCCACATCTATTTCTCTGTATCCGCATCTATGTCTGTGCCCCTGTTTATTTCCGTTTTCTATGTCTCTATGTCTATATCTATATGAATCTGCGTCCTTGTCCACATCTATTCTCTGTATCTCACGTGTATGTTGCCCCTGTTTATTTCCGTTTTCTATGTCTATATTTATATCTGTACTTCGTCCTTGTCACATCTATTTCTCTGTATCCCCACATTATGTCTGTGCCCCTGTTTATCTCCGTTTCTATGTCTATATTTATACGATCAAATGACACTCTAGTATATTCCACGCATAGGCACGTGCACGTGTACCGCGGTCAACTAGCCAAGCGCCTGATTTACTGCCTGGAGTCACGACCGTTCCTCGAGCGCATATGCCGACACTAGCACGTTGAAGGCCTTGAGCGCACTGTTGGCCTCATCGGTACCAGGCCCTGCAGGTATCGGCGTTGCTGCGGGTAACTGCAAGGAAATTCGCGAAACGAGTTAAAAAAATAAGAAGGTGTCAAGGGGATGGATGGGTGAGGATGTAAGGTTATTTTGCATCGCTTTGGGTGAATTCTAGAGCTGTGTGTTCCGCTAAAGTTCTTTCAATAGGTTTAATTCTTTAATTCAATTATTAATTCTTAATTATTAATCTAATTCTTTAATTCTCCTTCTCCTATTCTTCTTTCTTCCCCTCTTAAATCAGCGTTTGACTCTCCGAATTGTTGCTTTTGCTCTTCTTCCTTTTTCCTTCTCTTTCTTTTACTGTCCCACTTCTCCTCTCCTGTTCTTTTCTTCTTTTTTCTTATTTTCTCCTCCTCCTCTCCTTACATTCTACCTCTCCATAACTATTTCCTTCTCCTCCTCCTCTTACTCTTTTTCTTCTTCTCCACTTTATTCTTCATTTCTCCTCTAACCAAGTTCTACCTCATCATAACACTATTCTTCTCTCCTCCTCCTTACCCTCTTACTTCTTACCTCTTCTCCTTCTCTACCTCCAATTGACTACTTCATCCCCTACACTCTTCCTCCTCTCCCCACTATACCACCCACTACCTATCTACAAGCCCCCTCTTCCCCCAAATGTACTAAATATACATCTGAGGGCCTCTGACGTTATCTCCGCCGTGATTGTTGGATATACACGTCGATGAGGAACTTGTTCCTGAGGAGGGAGATGGCAGGCTAAGTTCGATTAGTGGTCCCTCCCGACGCGACCCCCACCACCTTCGCCGCCCTTCAGCGCCTCCTCCTGGGGCGTTCAGACGTCGCGTCGTCTGCTTTCAACGAGGGTTCCTGAGGCACGGGGGTTGGAGGGGCGACGCGAGCGGAGGTTAATAAGAAATAAAGTACACACAATAATAGGAATGATAATGTAATAAGAAAACACATAACATAATAAACTAATAATACACAATAACATACACACACAATAATAATAATAAATAATAAATAAATATAAAGATGATGATTGAGGATTATGATGATGATGGTAAATAATAAATAACAATTATAATCATTAATACACTAGGTAACACGTTAACATTAGCAATACCACAACAACAATGATAACACACACGACTGATCTGCACAAATAAAACTAAATCATAGTAAATACAATAATACCAACCGTATGGCATGATTGAATA